TAGTGAAATCGTGGCAAATTCTTGAATATTCGAGAAGGCAGTTGGACGGATTTTCAGTCGAACTTAACTGAACTAAACCATGAATTGCGTTCGATTGAAATCGATCATTTAAGGTTTGATTGCTAACTTAGGGGATTTGGTAGGAAATTTGATTTTATATACAGTGGTACGGTAAAAGATCTCTTCCTTGCAGATTATTTCTTAAAATCAACGCTAACACCGACAAGAGAAAATGCTGGGTGCACTTACTGTTAGAACTGCGTGCCTAGAGACCTTGAATGATAAAAGAGAAGGAAACTGGGATGATGAAGTGACTAATCTTCTGGATAGCAACTATGAGGACTGGAGGGGCCCAAAAGGGACTTACATGGTCCCCCGTGAATTCTCGTACCGAACACGTGAACTAGATGCTGGAGAACAAACAGAGATGGAGTTTTTTTACCTATTGCAAAATTTTGGAGAGAGTCGTTCAGAACCAATGTTTGTGATTCACTCCTACAAATTCGCGGAGATGATTTCTGAATGGAATAAGGGATCTAACAAGAAGGAAAAGAAATGGTTGAATGGAGAGCACGATTTCGTCGTTATTCATCGCCAATGTGGAATTATATTTTTCCAGGTAAACCATAGTTAGTAACTAACTATGGGTAAACAGTAAGTATTAACAGAGATAACAAATGTAATGTATTTGATTGATTGTAAGATTGACTTATGAACAGGAACTAGTATTTTATAGTCATTATTGTAATCTATTCTCGTTCATTCTGATAAATTTTCTTTTGTGTCTGCATCAGTTGCAAAGTACAGCCAGTATACCCACCTTGCAAACTTTTGACATTTCTTTAACTACTCTCTGAGAACTAGGAACATTCTGCAATCAGTTGTTTTAAAGTTGTGCGAAGACACTTATCAGCAGAAAGAAATTAGGAAAATGTTTCAAGTTTGTGGTTTGTCCTTAGATATTCTGAATAATTAGTATGTGTAATAGCACAGCTTGCAGTGTGCACAGCGTAGCCCCATAATTATACAAAATAGTTGTAGTAACCCGTCAAGCTGAAAAAATTCGGACTTATGACTGTACAGGCGTCTGCACAAGGTGCTATTGTTAGCATGCGCAGTCAACTGTATTGTGGGCATGCCAATGTCACGGCTTTAGTCTTGTCCAGTGGGTGTCTGAGCACAATGCATGCACTACATTTGTATTAACATGCACTTTATCCATAGTAGGAGCTTTAGTTTTGTTGATGAGACATACAGAGAAGAAAAATGCAAGCTCCACTATTAGGCTTGGCTAAATCTTTATATTAGGACTAAACACTGTCCAATTTGGAAATAATTGGATGAAAAAAATTTGGGCTGTCAGAGGAATTTTTTTTCATCCAATTATTTCCCAAATTGAATGAATATGTAGTCCTCTTACTTATAAATTATATAGTGAGTCAGTTTTAATTGGACATTGCTCAGTCAAGCTATTATTCTTTAATATTTTTGAAGCTGTTCAATTTTACAATAAGAAATATAATTAGTTGATTAACAACTGCCACCAATAGTTATTCTTTTGAAGTGTACCTCCAGGTTGTGCTGTATTCGATTTACGTTTACATTAATTCAGCCTCGCTTCCGTTCATGATTCGATGTATAATCACTTCCGGTAATGGCGACGACACATGTTAGAAAATATTAAAAGTTCTGTGTTGAAATCCAAGAATATATCTCCATTTCTCGTGCCATCCAAACACCACAAGGTGTTTTGAAGTACATCAATTAACATATCAGCTCTCTTCTGAACTTTTTCTAATCCTGAATTTTAAATCTGAGGGATGTTTTTATGACAAAGTGAATTAAAAAGCTCAGTAGCTTAGTTTTTATCTTGGGGGCTGTCATGCCATGTTTAAAAAAGTATGAGAGAGATCTCAGTAATGAACACTACTTAGGCAGTAGTGTATGGTTAGCCAAATGTTGCAAAATTCAACAACTTGCATATTTTTCTTCAACAACTAATATTTATGCTCAGCAAAATATATTTATATTCAACATTTTATATTTATCAAATTCAATGAATATATGAAGTTCATATATTTGATACAATTTGGTACAATTTGCATCATTCATATTTTATATTTATGGTCAACGACACGCATTTTCTTTTCATATTCAACCAAAATTATTTTCATTCAACAATAATATTTATTCAACTTCAATAGCTATATTTATTTTACTGATCAACAAAATTAATTGTTCAACTTCAGTCCAAACTTTTTACTCAACAAAAACAATTATTCAACTTCTACCATGCATAATTATTTAAAGACATACCTNCTGCCATCAGGGCGTGATGTTAGGGAAGAACTGACACAAATTGTGAGAGAATGTGTTCGAAATGAGATCGCTCTTCAACGATCGGGAAGTAATACCTCGTTGTTAATGAGAACGCGCGACCTTATAGCAAGTTCAGCAAGATCTGCGAGCCGAGAGATGACAAATTCTATCGCCCCGGGCATCGTTCCATCTTTTCCCGCCACAGCCACCCCGGTTCCTTCTTCTTCGTCTTCTTTGCACAAGGGAAAAAAGAGGCCCGCAGTTGCAACAAATCATCCATGGCGCCTCAAAGGTAAACAGGAGAAACAAATGAACCATAATCTTCGTATTGGAAGGAATGGGTTTCATGTTTGGGGGTAGTTCAGGGGTAGGGGAGGGGAATTTTGTTGAATGTCCGCGAACTTTCGAACACTTAGTCTTAATAGAAGGTATGTCATTAAATAACTATGCATGATAGAAGTTGAATAAAATATATTTTGTTGAATAAAAATATGCAAGTTGTTGAATTTTGCAACATTTGGCTAATCATAGTAGTGAAAATAAGGCCTGAAAAAAATTCAGGTCTGTATAGGATTCAAGCCTGTGATCTCTGTGATACCAGTGCAGTGCTCTACCAACTACTGCTTAAATAGTGTTCATTACTGCAGAGATCTCTCTGATACTCTCTTCTTTAACTGGAGTTCAAATATTTGATTTTCATACATTCACAAATGTTGACTCATCACTTCATGGGCTTACTATGAACTAACATAATGACCAGCTCCCAGTTGACTTGTAAGCTCAGTTGGTAGAGCACTGCACTGGTATCGCAGTGGTCATGGGTTCAAATCCCATGCAGGCCTGAACTTTTTACAGGTCTTATTTTCACTACTGCTTAAGTGGTGTTCATTATTGCAAAGATCTTTCTCATACTCATTTCTTTAATCACAGTTCAAATATGATTTTCATATATTCACAAATGTTCATGTCATGTTTACTTTATTTAGTTACTTTGCAAGAACTTTTGAGCTTCTACCATTTTTGTTTTCCAGGTGAAGGCAGCTGCAAAAAAAGGGAAATACTATCCTAAAGCACAGGAACAAATAGAGAAAGATAAAAAGGCTCTACAGGCATTTATTGATGAAAATCTTTCAGGCAAGAACAAAAAAGCCATGGATTCTGAGATATACCGATATCCAGGGTTTGTCGTTATGCCAAACTGTCCTTGTCCAAATGGTTCAGTTGTAAAACCTGCCATCGGTGTCTTTCAGGAGGACTGTGAAAATGTGGATGCATTTTCTGTGTGGTGGAATACCAAGGTTGCTGGAGTTGGGAGGGACACTCCTTTTGATCAAACATTGTTTGAGCACCTGGTCATGCAGTGAGTTATAACTACTGGCTAGAATTTTCATGGGATTAATTGCTGTGGTTTTTTTTTTTAGCATCCTTCACTATTCTACAAACTAGTTTGGTTGTATTTGGTGAGCAACAGATTTATTTTTTAAAAAAAAGAGAAACTTGAAAAATTAATTGATCTTTGGTTGATTTATCAAAAAACCAATGCCTTTATCTCCTGTCTTTATATTTTTCTCTCTTGCTGTTTCAGGAAAACTCCCAGATATGCACAAACCTAAAATGAGTTGTAATCATATAGAGTTCATTTCATTTTATATTAGGTAGTACTTGCAGTTTATTTGTCTAATCATAAACTTTGCTTTACGAAGTATGGTGACTAACTATCAAGGGATCCAAGATGTTATTTAAATGGAAGGTTTTGATACCAATGGAGGTAGCTTGGCCTTTTGGTTAGGGCACTGGACACTGGGCACTGGGCACTGGACTTGTAATGTGGTGGTCCCATGTTCAAGTCCTCTTATTGAAATAGTTCCACCCCTTGGTTGCACTGTGTAAATAGCCAACTGGTCTGCCTCCTTTTACTGTAATTTCTGGCCATTTGCCTGCACGGCCTATTACCCGCACTGGCTGATTATTGCATACAGTCAAAAAAAAAAAAAAAGGTCTACGGTTTACCCACACTGGTGGATAACCTGCACCTTAAAAGCAAAGGAAATTTGTACAAAAAGGCTCTGAAATTCACAACGATTCATGCTTGACAGAGTGCGAATGCGTGGCCACATTTTGTGTGAGCGATCCTCCAGTGCCATGTTAATTTGTTGATTTCTCTAAAAAATTGATATCTCCGGTTCTGCTGGGCCGAATAAGGCCCTTAAAACAGGAGAATTCTCTTCAGCTCAAGCTCATGTTAACTGGAAATTTGTCACTGACGTGCTGGGTATCCTTGGATTATTTTGTCACTGTCAACGATTTTTTTACATCAGGGCTCGAAATTAATGGTAACCCGTTAGCCAATGGTTAGTAATTTTCAATGTTTGGCTACTAAAATTGTGTCCAAGTAACCCGACATGGTTAATAAAATTTTCTAACATATTTAAACATTGGTGGACTTCGGGACAAAGAGCACGTAGACCTGACTCTCAGAGGAATACTTAAAATACTCAAGTTGTTAAATCAACTTAAACTCTTTTTAGAGAATGTGCTGTAGATGTACTGTTCTTGACTAATCAGGGTAAACGAGAGGGAAATAAAATAAGTGCATAAATGTCAACGTTTTTAAGGTCACCATGCAATTTCAGCCACTCTCTAATTTTTCCTAGTTGTTATTATCAAAATGTTGAATATTTGAGATATCGTAACTTGTAAGCTTGAATACCAAACTTGATAATTTGGTTAGTAAAAGAGATGTCTACTAACCCAAAGGGTTAGTCCTCCAAAAATTAAATTGGAGCCCTGTACATGCGTACTGATAAAAATTTGTTCATTACACAACTAATTGTACATGAAATAAACTTGAGTTGGCATGTTTTCGTGCAGCTTTGTGGCACTCTTAATACAATAAAATTCATTTGAAAGGTGCAAACACAGGTGGGTGAGAACTTCTTTCAATTGAACTACTAGTAAATTTTAAAATTGTCACATTACTGCCCACACCTCCCTATTACCCACAGTGGCGTGTGTTTAAGGCAAAATCAACAGATTACCTGCAGGTAAATGGCTGAAAATTATGGTAGTTGGGATTTTTAAACAACTTATGTGTATTTGTTTGTCTGTTTGTGCACATATGAGGTTAAATTATGTAAGTTAAGTAGGTGTGTTATAAGTGTCAATGTTATTATTGTTATTATTTTTCATTTTCTTCTTGGGGCTACTTTTTCTCAAACATTTTACACTCAAACATATTGAAGTTATTATTTCAACTTACATTTTCCAAAAAATTCAAGTTAGAGTCATAAAATGGGCACAAGTTATTAAGGAAAGGAAATTTGTGTAAGGACAAAAGAGAGTGCTGATTAAAACACTTATCAAAATTTGCAGCTTTGTTGGAATGTCACATAGCCTTCCTTGCACCCTAAACAAGTTAATTGATGGAAACAAAAAGGTGATGGAGATGTGTACAGAAAACCAGTTGTCAACATATCTCAATTCAGTGTCAGAGCAATGGATAACAGGCCCAGCTGGAAGTGGAAAGACGTGGCTACTTATGAAAAAAGTAGTAATGCTTGCTAAGGATGCACTTAATCGAGAGACAAAAGAAAAGATACTAGTGGTGTGTTACAACAGACCTTTGTCCGTGATGTTTTCCAAAACATTTGAAGATGAGTTGATTAATATTCCGCAAGATGGTACCTTTAATTTACCAGAAGTTGTGTCAATCAAGACTTTTGAGTCACTTCTCCATGAAATTACTGGGTCAAAATCAGGTAACTCTGATCAAGAGAAGGCAGAACATGTTGCCATAGCCTTGGAACTGTTAGAGAAGAGCACTGGGTGTGCTCAACGGTACGATCATATATTTGTTGATGAATGCCAAGATCTTTGTGGCGACGAATGGCCAACTCTTTTTAAGAGGTTGCACAAGGATGATGATGATGATGAACCCAAATACATCTGGTTCTTGTATGATACTAATCAGCATTTGAGACTTTCTGAAATGCAGTACCAGCAGCACTTGAAATCAATTAATAAGAAAGGCACCAGGCTCACTAAAGTTTATAGAAGCACTAGAAGCGTCTTTGAACAATCAAAGAAGTATTTCAAGGTCAACAATTCAAATGCAAAACCTATCACGCTAGGGCACCATGTGCATGGATTGAAAATTAAGTGGGAAGGCTCGCTAAAATGCAGAGATGTCACACATGATGCTGGTGCCAGGAGCATTAAGAAGAATATAGAAAACCTTCGCATAAACAAAGTAGACGACAAGGACATCTGCATTCTAACGCAAGATGTTGGCATTCGAGATGGTATCACATCAGAGCTTGAGAAAATGGGAATTGAGACCCAAAATGCAGAAGACCTGTTTCAAGCAGTTTCACAAGGAAACAAAGTGGTGGTTGAAAGCATCAGGCGCTTCAAGGGTTTAGAATCAAAAGTGGTTATTCTTTACAACCCACCATTTTATCAAAACGAAGACTGGACAGTGAAGAAGGTAAAGGAACTTTTATACACAGCAGTGTCCAGATGTTTTTGTTACCTCATTGTTATCACAACTGAACGTGGTTGCATAGCACTACAATCCGAGGAGGGGATAGTTGAACAGAAGAACATACATGGTAAATGGAAGGCATCATCTCAGAGTTCAATGGAATTGGAATCTGAGGACAGATTCAACAACCCCTTTTCAAGAAGAGGCATGGAAACCCAATATGAAAGTGGCCCTCCAGAGCCAGAGTCCCCTTCCAAACGATGTATTGAAGATGATGATGCTGACAATGATCCAGATGAAATCAAGCGCTCACCAGCTAAACTCTTGCGAATGGAGGAGGCCGAACATATTTACAAAAAGAGCTTAAAATCCAAGGAGAAACGTCAAATAAAGGTCTCTGGTTGTGATCTTCTGGAGCCTGGAGATCCTTATATAAAGGACTCCATACGGAACAATGTATTAAAGACACTTAATGGAACGGTCAAACAGAATTTGAAATACCAGCCCAGCAGCAGTGGTATGGATGAGTCATTGAAAAATGATGTAACATCTGCTGTTGCAAGAATTGAATACAAAGTTTATGACCAAAGAAGAGGAGAAATCAACAGCAGAAAATACACTCAAGATTGCAGAGACCTGAAACAAGAAATTGAAAAGTTCAACAACAATCAAACTTGCCACAAGAGTGTATTGGAAGCAATACAAGAGTCCCAAGCTACAAAAGATTCTTGAAAGGTATGTGTTGTGATCTGATAATTACCAAATATTATCCTCTATTAACTGAAGGGAGCTCTTTTTAAGCAAACAGCTGTGATAATAGCATTGCCTCTTGTAACCTTTTCAGTGATACACTTATTAATTCTTGAACTCATACAAAATCATACATAAGGGGTGAAACACAACTATTTATCTCTGTTTAGAATATTAAACATAGCTGCATTATGAACAGTTAACTTTATCCACAGCTTCAGTATACATATTTCAAATGAATTCAATGTCTTGACAGTGAAATTTAATTGCCTTGAATATTCTAGTTTTCTGGTTTTGAGAGATAGACAGGCTTTAGTAAATTCATAATGGTGGCCCTTGGCTTAGAGTACATGTCCTACTGAAGTGGTGTCATTAAATTTGGCACAAATGGCTAGCTTAGATTTGCAGCTTAGTTTTTATGATAGTGTGGGGCTCCTCCTCTTCCTGGGGTCTGGACTCCGCCTCGGGAAATTTTGAAGGGTTAGACTCCTTAACAATTGAATTTTCCTTCATTTTTAATGCTACATGTCAGTCTATTTCAATTTAATATGTTTCTTTGTTGTTCCTCGAAGTCAACCATTTTAACAAGCACTTACTGGTACATGTATCAGATACAATGAAATATATGAAGTTCATATATTTTGAACTGCAGTATTAGATACGTATGATGCACAATCCTTGCAGTAGATAGCGCTATTTAAGCAATAGCGAAAATCAGACCTGGAAAAAAAAAAAAAAAAATCAGGCCTGTATGGGATTTGAACCACTGACCTCTGCGATACTAGTGCAGCGCTCTACCAATTGAGCTGACAAGCCAACTGGGAGCAGGCTGTTAAGTTGATTCGTAATAAACCCGTGGAAGGCCTGATTTTTTTCAGGTCTGATTTTCGCTATTGCTTAAATTGCGCTATCTACTGCTAGGATCGTGCATCATATGTATGGTACATGCATGTTAGGACTGCAATGATGGTTATGTAAAAACTACAAGTATGTAGCCTGTGCATGACCAGTGGGTAGGTCTATTTGCTAACAAGCTGCCATTGAGAATAACCCCTTCGCCAATAAACTCAAAGGTTTAATTACGACAACTTGAATCGGTTGCGAGCACATGGAACAGACACGGTCCCACCACACATGTGCAGAGCTAATAACCACAGGCTACAATATAAATAACGTAGTGACGCTTGGGCTGTCTACTTCAACTTCATCTTTAATCCTGTGTGACTATGAGGGCATAAGGCCAATTTTGTGTGTCCTACGTGTTACCCAGTGATGATATGCGCTAATAATTATTGTTTCTCGATTTTATCTTGGCAGTGGTCTATGGGTTAATTTTTCCTATGAAATGGATGCACCTGTTGCAAAGGGGGATGCAAACTGTACGTCTTGGCTTTTGAGAGACTCTCATCTTTGTATTTGTGGTTCTGTAAAAATTCAGACTGACTGACTATTTTTGTCAAATAATTTAGTAGGTATCATATACAAATTGAGTTTGCATCAGTTTTGTACGAGATACATGAAAGGATTTGATAGTGGCACTCAACTAGTTTCAGCCATTACAAGAGTAGTGCCAAATTTGTTATTGTCACAGAGACCTGGGGCCCATTTCTCGAAAGTCCCGGTAACTTAATGGGCCTGAAGCTATGTTTGAAAATCAAAATTTAAAGGACAGGAAAGGAGATTCTGGCACCCAAACCAGTCCTTATTGTTTCTTTCGCTGATAGTTTTATCATATCATTTTCAAAACTTTTGAAATTCCCATCTTGAATGAAAACAGGACAGCTTTATGGCCCATTAAGTTATGGGACTTTCAAGAAACAGGTCCCTGGTTGGCATTGCATACTGCCAAAAAAATTTATAAGTGTGGCTATGGTACTCGTAGATGTAGTTTGGAAATGCTAAAGTCATGTGGAGAGCACTCCTGCCTTCCTAAAGATGAGTTATTTAAAACTGGATAGCCTGATCATGTGTTCTCAAAGAAATGCATTAACTTTTTGATATTCTATTTTCTTTTTCTATCCCTTTCTATCCCTCTCTAATTTGATTAGAATTGTAGGTTATTAAAATAATTTAATATTGTTAAACTATTTACATTACTAAATTAAAATAGGAATGTACTAATTACTAAATTAAAATAGGACACGATTTTTAGTTCAATAAATTAATATTAATAATATTTTTTTCAGTATTTACTTTAAAACATTAGTTACTTTGGATGCAAGTAGCATTACCAGTATGTGCATGACATAAATGACTACAATGGGACACAAAATGGAAAATACTTCATTTGTATTCTTTGTATTGCCTGCTTGACTTAGTATTAAACATTGTGAAGCAAATTTACTTTTTGATCACTCTTGAGTTGAAGAGTTGAGCTGGACAAAGATATTCCTAACAGTGGTTACATTAAGTCTTTCACGTTCCGGAAGTCTTTCCCTAACTAGTACTTGAAAGACTTAAAAATTAGAGGCCACAAGAAGCAGTAAATTTTTATCCCTTGACTTCCTCTGGATAATTCATCCCAGCTGGGAGAATAGCTAGATTGCAAAATTGTGATGGACTAAAATCTGATGCTATCCCCGGAAGAAATAAGATGAGGAACGAAATCTAGAACGGCACAGGGGAAAATGTTCTGCAGTATTCCTCGTGTTTTAACACTATAGAATAGCTCCGAAAAACCCCTAAGGCATCGCTATTCAAATCTGTTATTGACTTTTTTACTCTAATAAGACTAAATGGTTTCAAAAGCAACGCATTTTGAAGTCTCCCGGTTGATCATCCCGGTCCCCCCCGGTTGATCATCCTGGTCCCTGGGAGGGTCCCCGGTAATTTCTTCTTTTGTCCGCGGATTCCTAGGATCAGCGGTAACCTTCATTTGTATCGAACATCATGGCGGTTATCAACACCGGTGACTTTCCAATTCACGGGCTTTTGCCAAAGCGAGAAACGGGTGCAGATAGATTTTTGGCTAAATATCCCGAGTATGATGGCCATGGAATTGTAATCGCTGTGTTTGATACAGGAGTTGATCCAGGAGCTCCCGGTTTACAAGTAAGTCTTATTTCCAGTGATCGGTACGTACGGATTCAATTCAATACTTAGCAAAAAATTTTGAGGTGCACTAACTTAACGGAAACGAAGAAGAAAATAGGGTTTAATTGCTCTGGTCTCGGTTTTTCGAGTCACTATTAATGGAACGGAGTTTTCTAGGCCTAAGAAAAGTTTTAGTTTGAGGAAATAGTTTTGTGGTATTTTACCTCATTATTAAGTTTTTTCCGCATTATAACGAACAAGTTGTCCTAGGACAAGATTTATATCGACAAGTCCACTTGACTAAAAACTGGCCGGCTTCCTTATGGACAAGGAGACATGTTGAGGGAAAACTTTGATAATTATCAAATATATTCAGCAAAGAGGAGGTGGCTAGTGATCGATATATTTACCAAGCTACAAAGCAGTGAGGTAAATATTTACCACCAACCACCAACAATGAAGTTAATATTTGTATTAGTATGAACAAAAACAGTGAGATCATAATTGTGGCATAAAACAGTGATTTTAATCCATTTATTACTGCAAGGATTATAATATTTTAGATGCAAGTTGCTTGGAGGTGAATAGCATTTAGGATATTTGGAGTTTGAGTTGTTAATCAGAATGCACCTTCAATGCTTGCCACTATTTTAGTAATTATACTAAGATGATAATAAGATCAAGAGACAAAAAGGACGAGAAACATGAAACACTGAAAGTAATAGAACAATACTTATGTGTTATTAACCAAGTGTGAGGTCAAGATGGCTAGATATTGGCCAAGTTCTTTTTTTGCATTTTTATGGCCGAGACGAAGTCCAGGTCCTTAAAAATGCGAAAAAAGAACAAGACTAATATCCAGTCATCTTGATGGAACAAGCTTGGTTAACAAAAAGATTTATTATATTGCAAAAAATTTTTGCTTCATTAAGGATTAAGAATGGCTTATTTACTTCATGAGCCAGGAAAGAAAGCCAACTGTGTTTGTAGCACATCAAACTCACGAGAGTTGTTTCTGTTTTCTTTGTTTTGACTCTATATCTTCTGCCAGTTTCTGTGTTTCCATCACCAAAATTTTTTCAAGAATTATGAATGTAGTTCTAATTCATTTTTTTTCATGCGTGGGATCAATGCGGGCAATCTTGAGCAGCCAAGATGAGCCCATCCTGTCTGCTCGGGTAGCTAATCAGAACACAGGATAAGCTTCATCCTGTCCACAGGCGCTGCAAGGGATGTAATAATCTGTATTTCTGCCCTGTTTTAAAATTTGAAGACAGCTCCCATGATAAATTTTAGCTATTGTACCTTCACAACATTCCCTGCCAAAGGTAACCCGTAGTTCTAAGGTCTCTCTCCTTTTTTTTTTTGTTTTAAGGAAACCCCTGATGGACGCCGAAAAATAATTGATCTAATTGATACCAGTGGAAGTGGTGATGTTGATACCTCAACAGTGGCTGAGGCTGTTGATGGCTGTGTAACAGGACTTACAGGAAGGAAATTGAGGGTTTGTTTCTTATGTCCTTTCTTATCCTTTTTCTTGGAACTGTTACCGTTACAGAATATGTTTTTCTACTTTAAGAAAACTTATTGATCAGAAGGTCCATTTATTAAGCTTAACCTGATTTCAGCAACATAATGTTTACTGCTATCCCCCTTTGGGCCTGGGGCCCATTTGTTAAAAGTCCCAGTAAATCAACAGGCCTGAAGCTATAATGTAGGATCAAAATTTAAAGAATAGAGAAGCAGGTACTGGCTCCCTGACCAGTCCATTTTGTTTCTTTAGTTGAAAGTTAAATTGTATAACTTTCAAAACTTTGAAAACTCTTATCCTGAAATTATAAAGACAGAACAGCTTTAGGGGTCCAGTGCATTACTTGGACCAGTGAGAAATGGCCCCCTGATGCCAATCCATTGCGGGGGTATCCCTCTTTCACCCATCCATACTCTAGTGTGGAGAAGGGAACTTCAAGTGGAGAATGTAATTCCCAAGAACTAAGTTAGGGATGAACCGTGGCTGAGTGGTTAGGGTGCTGGACTTGTAATCCGGTGTCCTGGGTTCAAGTCCTCCACCCTGCCACTCACTGGATTTGTTCTCGGTTGCCCCTGGTTCAACTCCTTGGCTGCGCTCTGTAAATAGCCCACCGGTCTGCCTCCTGCCAGTGGGGATTTTTAAGCACTTAGTT